TGAGGCAGCGTCGTGGCCGACCTCGTGTCTTCTCTGGGAGCCACATTTTGGAGCAATGACGTTTTGTCCTCGGGTACCCAGCCGTGGCAGAACAGTTTTTGTTCTCCTTCTGTTCTCACCGATCCAAATATAGCAGCAGCCACGGTGACAGAGCAGCTGCTGGACCTGCACAGGGGCAGTGGAACGACCGAGGTGTCCCAGCGCTGTCCCCTCGCCCCGCTCCACGCCCTGACCTTAGCAGGAGGGCAGGAATCGCCCTGGAGGAGGTGCTGCAGTGGCCACACCACCTCCTGCAGCCCCAACGGACACCTCCCCTTGCTGCACAGCTTGTGGAGACACATAGAGAACTCCAAGTACTGTCTACATTGAAGCAACCAACACAAGGGCTTCACGTCTGCCCCGGGGGGTCACCACGTCACCCTGCACCAGTGGCACATGCTGCCTGTGACAGTGCAGCAGGCCCTCACTTTGATAGCCACTGAAGCAGCATGTTAAACAAGATGATCCCAAAATGATGGGCATCCAACCAGCCCAGATGCAAGGACCTTCCCAAGGCCTGTAAGACACAGTGCTCACAACAGCACACTCTGCTTCCCACCACGTGGTGTTACTGGGTCGTCTCCTGGTTCTGGCTGGGGTGAGTCCATTCCCCTCCTGGGAGCTGGGTCAGAGCAGTGGTTTGGATTTAGCCTGAGCACCCTGTTGGTAACACCCCTATGTTTTAGCTGTTGCTAAGCAGTGCCTATCCTAAATTCAGGATTTTCCAGTTTCCCATCCTCTGCCTGTGAGCAGGAGCACAAGAAGCTGGGAGGGGGCATGGGTAGGAGAGCTGACCCAAACTAGCCACAGGGATATTCCAGACCACAGAATGTCATGCCAAGTATATAAACTGGAGGGAGTTGGCCCCAGTTTATATAAACTGGGGGGAATTGGCCACTTGTCTTTCCTTGGGCTTTATTTAACTCTCTTCTGGATAGATTCCTTTTAATTACAATTATAATTATAAAAATTTATTTCAATTATTAAATTGTTCTTATCTCAACCCATGAGTTTTACTTGGTGGGGTGGAGACAGGTGAGGAGGGAGCGAGCAGCTGCATGGGGCTCAGCTGCTGGCTAGGGTTAAACCATGACATGTCCCCAGACACTCTGCTCAACAGCCAAAACTGTCCACTAACAACTGGAACTTTCCCCAAACCTGAGTTCCCTGCGATGTCAGTGTGGTTATTTCTTTAAAGCAGGACTTTGGCTAAAGGACTCAAGCCTGAAAGAGCTCCTGCAGGGATAAAACATGAATGCAGGAAGAGTATCCTTTCCAGCTCTGGGGCTGAACCCCTTTGCAGCTCATCTTTCAGAGCAGTGCCACTGAAACAAGCAGACTCTTTGCTTCTTCCTGGGGTGCAGAGAAAAACCTCAACACTCCTAAAATAGCACTCTCAGTGTGGTCAAAGTACTTTGACATGACACAGCCTGGTGCTTTTTTCTTGGGATCAGTGGCTCAAGCCAGGAAACATCCAGGGATATTTTAAAGACCTTTCTATCTAGAAGGGTTGTGTTCTGAAAGTGAAGCCCCAGGGTCTCAGTGCCCAGATGTAAACGTGCAGTGGCTGAAGGGAAGGCACAAACTGGCCAGCTGCACCAAAATGGGAGTTTATTGGCTAAACTGGAATCCTAGAGAAAAGTCTTGCTTTCAGTATTTCAGCAATTCCTTGCCTGTCAGCTACCAGGCCTAAGGTGTTTCCTATGCCATGTTAAGCCAATTATTTCCTATGCCATGTTAAGCCAATTATGCTGCCTAAGAGTGCCATTAGCCACCCAGGGTGCAGGCCCCCCCAGCAGCTGGGCAGGGAAGAGCAGCTCCTTGGCCCAGCCAGGCCATGGACATCTTCAGGACCAGGTACCTCATTCTCCTGTTCCTCCTGTGCTCACAAGCTGGTTTGGAAAACCACAGGGCACTGACACGTGGGCCAAATATTTATCTGGCTTTGGAGTTTCTGCAGATGACTCAAGGGCTTCTGCTGAGGTGATGCCAGCCACCACTGACTGCACCAAAAGCTCCTCTGAGCTTGCAGAAGGCCTCTGGACTTGGCAGTGCACAATGCCTGGAGCAACGTGACCAGCCTGGCCCTAGGATTCTGCCTGACACCACCCTGCAGATGGTTCTCTTTAGTACCCAGTGCTTCTGCAGGAGCATGGAGCCCAAAGTGTGCTCTCTGGCAGTGGGAGCACACCAGGCTGACAAAGTGGTGCTAGTGTGGTTACACTGGATCCAGTCTAATATCCACTGCTGGAACTAGGAGGTCTTGCCATCCCCCCTCTTCCAGCACCTTTAGGTTCTGTGTTAAGCAGATGCTTCTCAGAGCCAGCCCAGCTCAGCTCAGATTTAGATCAGACATTAGGGAGAAGTTCTTTACTAGGAGGGTGGTGAAACACTGGAACAGGCTGCCCAGAGAGGTGGTGGAGGCCCCATCCCTGGAGACATTCAATGTCAGGCTTGATGGGGCTCTGAGCAGCCTGATCTAGTTGGGAATGTTCTTTCTCACTGCAGGGGGATTGAACTAGGAGACCTTTTGAGGTCCCTTCCAACCCAAAGCACTCTGTAATTCTACAATTAACCCAGAAGGTGATTTTCTGCTGGATTTGTGAGCTGGACTGGCACATCTGAGGGTCCAGCAGATGCTAAAGCTGCTATAAAGGTGAGAGGTGACTAAGTAGCAAGATAGTCTGGTGTAAATTTGGAACAGCTCTGCCAACTCTTGATTCTTTTAAGCATCTTCCCATTACTGCTGCAGTATAAACAAAAATACTGCAAAACAATCTGACAGCACAGCCCACGCAGCCCAGTCCTTTGAGTGGGGACAGCAAGAGAACTGCTGAAGGCACGAGGAGACTAAGCAGGCCCTAAGGGAAGGAATGAGGTGATCACTCTGGAACCAGCAGTGAGTTGTGTGACTATGGGGTATTTCAGTGCTCTCACAGGAAAACACACTGACCAAGGTTACAGAACTGGAAATTTGGTCTGAAAAATGCTTGTCAAAATGGCTGTGCATGAATATTTAATAATCATCCATTCCAACTCCCAAATAAAGCTGCCTGTAAGGAATCTTTTTCCAATTCATTCTGGGGCTGACTCTTCTGGCTTGCACATCACTGCAGTAAAGACCTCACAATGGGAATTCACAGAATACATCTGTCAATAACACACAGATCTGGAGGGATCCTTGTTCCCTGTGCTACAGACATACTGGCTTTGCAGGGCTAAACCTGCAAATGCTGATTTCAGGGAGCAAGCAAACAGGCAGGGTGTTGAACAAACACACTGCACACCAACGAGCCACCACTTCCAACCAGAAATGCACCAAGGAGTCTACAAATAATCACAGGGAACAAACCACAACAGCATCATTGCTGTTGGTTTCTGCCTCTCCTAAGACACACAATACACAGAATGCAATAGCCAGGAGAGGAATCAAAGTGTGCTGAGCAGTAGAGATGGAAAATATCCCCTTTCAACACGGGAGGCTGCAGCATGCTTATCTACAGTCCCTCCAGCCTGTGCTGCTCAGCTCCACCTCCACTGCCCTCCCACTGGTCACGTGCCTGTAAGCAGCAGAGCCTTTCACAGACTCCCCAGTGCACGCTTTATATCAGGTGATACCACATGTAAGTGACAATTTACAACAACTTCCAAAGAAGCTCCACGTGTCACACACTGGACCCTCCAGTGGCCACAGCTGGGGCTGCCCAACATTCACATGACACCCAGACTGCAACAAAAGGGTTAGAAAAGATGGCTGAGTGACATACAGTTCGTAGTTCTGATCTTCTGTCTCCTGCTGCACTGACAGCTCCTCCAAAGTTGCATCAATATCCAGCTGATTTGTCTCCAGCTGCCGTAGCAACGTCTCCCTCTGAGGAAAGGAAAACAAGCAGGGGGTGAGCAGGAAGGGTCATTGTAACAGATCTCACAGGGTGCAGCAAGATCCTGTGTCAGCTCTCTACACAGCAATGCATTAATCAGGAGCTCTGGCCCCTCTCACAGGGTTCAGTTTAAACACAGAAGCACAAAGGGAAGTTGAAGCAGTAGCAAAAGTACATTAATACAGGAAGTCTGTGTGTAAGAAAGTCATTTGTTCCGCAAGCTACACTCAGCCATAAATCAATAACGTGTGACTTTCAAACACAGCATCACCAGCTGCATGTGGAGACCAGCTTCAGCTCCTGCAGGGAACAGTTGTGCAACCCAACACTCTGAGCTTGCTTTTCTTTTCCCTTGGGAGTAGGACCCAGCTGATGAAAACCTCACAGTAATTTTCTTTTTCCTGTCAGGGTAGATGAGTGGAGCACAACCTGTCAACTCAGTGACATTTTAGAAGTCACCACCCCTCTGCCTTCAGCTGCTGCCCCACAGCCGAGGGACAGGCACCCCAGCCCATGTCAGATGGGCTGTGGAGGGAGCTGGCTCCACTCACCTCACCCAGGCTAGCTTAACTCAGTCCCTCCCTTCCCACATTTCCAAGAGAATCCAAACAAAACCCACAGAGAGAGCTGGTTTAAAAGGTTCAAAATCAATTACAAATGGTCATGGGACACTCCTGATAGCCCAGATGGCAATGAAGAGATCAATAACCACAGGGGGAAAAGGAGAGGGAAAAGGAGAGGGAAAAGGAGAGGGAAAAGGAGAGGGAAAAGGAGAGGGAAAAGGAGAGGGAAAAGGAGAGGGAAAAGGAGAGGGAAAAGGAGAGGGAAAAGGAGAGGGAAAAGGAGAGGGAAAAGGAGAGGGAAAAGGAGAGGGAAAAGGAGAGGGAAAAGGAGAGGGAAAAGGAGAGGGAAAAGGAGAGGGAAAAGGAGAGGGAAAAGGAGAGGGAAAAGGAGAGGGAAAAGGAGAGGGAAAAGGAGAGGGAAAAGGAGAGGGAAAAGGAGAGGGAAAAGGAGAGGGAAAAGGAGAGGGAAAAGGAGAGGGAAAAGGAGAGGGAAAAGGAGAGGGAAAAGGAGAGGAAAAGGAGAGGGAAAAGGGAGAGGGAAAAGGGAGAGGGAAAAGGGAGAGGGAAAAGGGAGAGGGAAAAGGGAGAGGGAAAAGGGAGAGGGAAAAGGGATCAGTATCTGAAAGCAGCAGTCCTCCCTCTCACACTGCCTGTCCTGGATGGCACACGGAGCAGAGCCAGGGGACAGCCTGTGCTGGGACACACCCCATGACTCCCAGTGCCCGTTCCAGCCAGGGCTGCCAGGCTGCTCCTCCACCCAGCCAGGAGGAGGCAGAGGAGAAACCCCAGGCTTCCTCCAAACTGCAAACATTTCTGGTTTTACAACTGCCTTATCCTCAGCCTACACCTGAGTGTTCTACTGGGACAGATACTCTCGAAGTTTAGCACCAATAACCATAGTGAATTTTAAATCCCATGTTAGACAACATGTATGCTCACTGCAGAGAGATCCCACTGGAGTTAAAAGCACAAAAGGAGATCTACTATGTAATTTACAGAACAAAATCCTTATAGTAAGACAAACATTTGGCTAAAGCAATGGTGTTCAGCATCCATGCCCATACACTACTGAGAATGTAGTTTTGTAGACAGGACAACTTTGGAGCTATTGAAGAAGTGTAAAAATTTAAAGAGCAAGTAATTAATCTGCTTTACACAAAACAGACCACACTACTCTGTCCAAGGGATTAGTCAGGGCCCTCCATGGGACAGGCTGGTTTGTATCAACTTCTACCCTGATTTAAATCAGCAAGTGAGGTTGAAGTAATTTTTATTTTGTATATAATACAGACCAGGTGATTCACAGTGGTTCATAAGCTTTCAACATGCTAGTTTACTGGAAGAAGCCATCTTTCTTTAAATTTAAGAGCTTCTGTGATCATTTAAGCCAACTTACTGCTTCCCAGACATTTAGATTCTCCATTTTCAACTTTGTCAATATGTTAAGAGCTTGAACTGATCCATATTTTCTTTGCTAGGTAATTTTTATTCATTATATTCATAAGCTCTATGCAGATGGAAACTTGACTTCAATTAACTTGTATAAAAAGAATTATGAAATCATTAGTTAATTCCAATTCCCTTTACTGTGGTATACAAAGTTCCAGCAGAACATGCTATTAAAACACCTATTTAAACTTGCTACACTAAACAGAAGCAGAACCAGTCAAGATTTTAGAAGTAATTTGAGATTTTAGAATTCAAGATTCAAAACATTGAAGATTTCAGAAGTAATAGACTTCATCCTCTTACAGTGTAAGCAAAAATGAGACAAAAAAGAGCAAGTTTTCTGCTTTGTTGTCCTCAGTTTCCTCAGATCAGTGAAAGAAATGCTGAGCCTGTTAGCTGAATAAATAGAGACAGAAGGGACACTGCTCTCCAACACTTACCTTGGCACTTGGAGAGTGGCTTTTGTTAAACAAGTTTTTTGTTTTTCCTCACACTTTGGCAGTAAGACATATAGCAGAGTTTTATTTATTTCAGTTTTCACACATCACAATAAATTAAGATTTAATTGTGAGACAGCTGCATATAATTTTGTAAAAACTCATTGCTAATAACAGACTTCCAGACACTTAAAAAATAAATTCTATTTTACCATGCTGGTATTAAAATATTTAAGAAACAGCTTATTTTTAGCAATGACCCAAAAGAAGGGAATAAATCATGTGCTCCAGACCAATGATTTGGCTGAATGCCACTTTCCAGTGCTTCCTGGGAAGAAGCAATTTCAGCTGCCTGCAGAGCTGTGTCTCCTTCCAGCTCAGCATCTGAAGGCTCCCTTGACCTGATCACATCTCCACGTTATGTGGGCCACCAGCACTACCTGCAGCCAAACTGCACTCTCAGGTTTGGCAATCCTTCCCCTGGAAAGGAACTGATAAATAATTGAAGAGCCTGGGCTGCCAGAGGGAACGTGCTCTGTGCCGGGGGTATGAATTTCAGCCACCGCTTTCTTCATGAAAGATGCATGAGTGGGAGCTGAACAGAGGAGTGTGCAACTTAAAACCAGTGCACTGAACACCAGCACTGCTGAAGGACAGCCTGGGATCTCACGTACAGCTGGACAACCCTCCCCTTGAGAGCTGTGGGAGGCGAGGCTGAGGAACACAGAGAAACCTCGGAGGTGACAGACCATCCTATGTCCACACAATACCTGGCAGCATTCCTCTCCTTTAACCCTGCTTTGCTCCAGAGTACCAGGGAAATTCCCCCTTTCTGGAGCCTGTTACTAGCAAGTCTCTCTGAAGGTATAAGCAGAACCTTGAGGAATTAAGTCTAGCTCTGGTTTCCCTA